TGTGTGCATGTGTGTGGCAGCTGTGTTTACTGTGTCAGTCGTAGCGTTGAAGTTTCATTACCATCTATTGATTTTTGGCGTGTGTGTGTTTGTAACCTGATCTCAATGAATAAGCTGCAACAATCACTGCCTGCCTGTCTGTTTGTCTCTGTGGTGTTGTTTTTATTTTACTATTCTAATAGCGCTACACAACTAACCATTATTTCCATTATCGATTCATTCTCAGATTATTTTCTCGAATAATGGATTAATTGTTGTGTCCATGAGATGTCAGATTGCCTGTTTGAATTTCCTACATCTCCAAATGTCTTGTTTTGTCCGATCAACGGTTCAAAACTCAAAAGGTATTTAACTTACTATATGATGCAGAAAACAATCATAACCTCAAGACATCCAGTGGGTTGAAGTAGTCGTATGCTTTCCACTGTTTGGACAGGAGGGCTCTATAGCTGGTGATTCAAATCTCCTAAAACATCTACTGAGCTTCAGTGATACTGGGGACAAGAGGGGACAAATTATATTAAAGGACAAAACCCACCACAGTCTTTTCACCCTGGTAGTCTCAGCTGCAAGTGTCCTCTGTCATACCACCAGTCTTCAGAGGAGCTTCTTTCCTCAGGCTGTGAGACTTCTAAATTCATTGTCCACCCTCCACCAGATAATATAGATTGGCATTATTTTTATATATTTTCTGATGTAGCAAACTAGGACTACAAACTGCATTATGTTGCGCAATGCGGTGGTACAATTCATACATCCTAATTTTTAACCTTATCATTTTAAGAACAACTCATGACAGGAAGGATTACGAGGTTGTGATGTTTGCTTCACACACAGGACTCATGACATGAACCACACAGATGTGACTCTTTCTGTCGTCTCGCTCTTGGTGTCTGAGTGAAGTGACGAGCTTTTGATGCAAGCTGACAGAAACCTTGCTCTATTTTTCCTCAATTTATCTTACGCACATGCACACACAACAAAATATGTTGACAAATGTAGCTGCCATATTCTCCAAACATTTGGCTGTTTAACTGAAATAATGACAGGACGAGAATGTTGCTGATACTCTGTTGTTTTTCCTGACACCTCTAACTCCTCCTGTTGATGGTTCAGTTTGAAACTACAATTATGTTTCTGTCCTTTTTTGGGTTGTCTGTACTCTTGAAGATATTTCCAGATTCATAATTGTTTCCCATCACTTAACATAAACCTTTATATAATCTCTCTCTGTGGACTGTGGTGTAATTTATAGTTGAAAATAAACTTCTCAGTGCTCTCTGCTGGGCAAATAATATAATAGAGTCATTCTTTAAAATTGCCTCAAAGATATATTTGACCTTTCTGTATGGAAATCTTTTACCTTTCAGCCAATATGAACATTAATTACAATATATTGGCAATGAAACATGTGGCATGAAATATATTTCAGCGATAGACCATAAAATAAGAATTTGCTCATATAAAAGTGTATTAAATAAATTAATAAATATTTATGCTAACATATAGGCCTAAAATAAAACACCTTGGTTTATTGAGGCTGACCATTGGTCTCTTCTGCTGCGTTTCAGCATGTGGGATAGCACATGCACTCTATGCACAGAACAAACAGGGCTATCTTTTTTCACAGCAGTCTTTTCTAAAAACCTTCAAACCGCATTGCTCAGTTCTCCACTCGGTACACCAGCCTGCAGTCGGTGAAGACTAGCACATGATTCGTTGCACCAGTGCTTTTTGCTCACTTGCTTTTATTCCGTTCTTTCATCTGCTTATAAGTTCCCGATGTTGTGAGAGGATTAATGTCGTATACAGCTGTGAAGCCAAGATGTATTAACACACTGACTGTCTCGCAGAGTGTTTAGTGTTATTGATCAAGCTCACAGCTAGTCAAAGTGAGCATACAGAGGAGAAGGCACCATCTTTGGCAGCTATTCAGATTTTTACAAAGCATTGAACTTTGCATGTTATGAATGTGTTGCTGGATTATGCAGCAACAAGGAGGTTTTGATTTATGTGTGGGAGCTGCAAAATATTTTTATTTTGTGCCGTTTGACATGTAAAGGATGAGTTGTGACCCTGACAAAAGATATGGCTTTATTGGCACAGATGCAGCCTCAGAAATGTACTCCACTGCAAGTGTAATAGGAAAGTGTTGTGGGTAATGGCTGCAAATCAATGCGCAAGACTGTTGTACGGTAATGGTGACTTATTATATGAGACTCGGTTGTGAAATAACACACAATTTCAGTCTCCCACTCGCAGACGTTCACACTATAAGACACAGCCCATATGCTGTCTCCCTCATCACACCGTGTGTTAATTCTTTCCAGTCTGTTTGGTCCTGTGAATGGACATTTTGACTTGCATGACGAAATGTCATTGGCATGCCGGCTAAAGTAGACTCTTTGGTTCAGGCTCAATATGATGGTTGGGTGTGAACACACACACACACACACAGTGTCTTTCAGTGTGTTGATAATCCCTGGAGTACGGATGAAAGGCACTTATTGGTTAATTCCGATCGGGTTGGTGGGGAATCTGTGTTGTGACTGGTTAATCAGAGGCACAGCAGTGGGCGGGATTTAGGGAGGTGTTAAATCAACTGTCAGGGGAGTGTTGTGGAGCCATTGTGGCCACAGCTGCCATCTGGTGCCATATAAGTCTTTACAGAGACTAACGCCTGACACACAAATGAGAACTTTGAAAATATGTTCGGCAGCCTGGTGTCTCATTTTATTTTAAACTCATTTTTTTCTTTACATTTTTTCGAAAAGGATGCGTTTATGTTTCTTTCAAACTTCATACTGCCTTTTTTTTCTTATATTGTAGCCCGTTACAAGCTGATGATACACTCACAAAAAACATCATTGGCCAATTTAAGCTTATCACAGTTATATAAGTATTGGCAAATACATTAGTTTGCCCATCAAAAAGAACTGAAAATATCCCAAAATGTCCTGCTCAAAGTGCTGGTCACTAGTAATGTGTATGGAAACAGGTTTATTAAATAGGCACCGGTCCTTTTATTGTTGAAGAGCTATGTTTTACACAAGCACAGTGTGCTCGCTCGGATTCATGCGGAACGACTGATACTGACTCGTGTCTGTGTTCTTAATCATTTCTAAACGTCACTCAGGAATGTGATTTATTTGATCGATGTTTTAGATTTGAGATATATTATTGAGTTTATATATATATATATATTGACATTGCTGTCCAGTGGTGGCTGTTTACGACTTGTTTCTGACTTGTGTGATCCAACAATTTCCAATAACTCCAGAGCTTTGTTAAATCCAAAAGTCAGTATTTGTTGAAAAAGGATAGGTGTAATTATTTCGAAAATTTACGACATGTTTTATTCAACAAAATATTCTGCTTCATATCATATTTTTTGGTGTTTAGCCTTTCAAAGAAATTGTATTTTTAGGGTGATGTCATAAAATGTGATGGCATTTAAAGCTTGATTTGAAAACCTCGATAGAAGCTTTGTATGTAAAAAGAATATATTGAAATTTGGTACAGCCCCCTAATTAGCTGTTGTAAACATTACTGTTTCTGCTCAAGAAATAAGTTATAGTTTTATTTTAAACATAAATAAATTATAATCCAGTTATCAATTATTATTTTTAAATAATATATCAAAAAGCACATTTTTAGTAATGACAAAGAATCAATACGAGTATTGCCAAAGAACCAACCACTAAGGAGTATCGATGAGAGTAAATGCTCATCAGAAAGGTGCAGGTCTTGTGACAACAGGCATGCAGCTTATTTTCCTGTTAATTTAAGTCGAGCACACTCGTCCAGGTGAATGTGTGTAGCTGAAGGCTTACTGTGGTCTCTAAGCCTGTTCACCCTCATACACCTGCTGTCTGACAGCGTTGTGACAACCAGAGGGTTACTGGTACTGCACAGTTCAAAGGCCACAAAATGGATTTCAAATCCCTTGTTGTAGCAGCTTTTGTTTTTAAACAACACATTTACAAATAAGTATTTGTAGTTTATATGTGTGCAAATATTTACATGGTTCATAATCATCTCTCTTCCTGCTTGAAGTTGGTTTATTTGCCTTTTATAAAGCAACTTATTCACTTTATGTTGTTAATGGGTTTATTGCGTTTTTTTGTGGTCTGGTTGAATTAGCTTATCTCACTTCCTTCTTATCTCTGTTGACAGTGCACACATGCACAGTACTGATCGGGCACTCGGAAAGAAACTCCCAATTATATTCTGTCACTGTATCGACGCAGTCGTTCACTTATGCATCTTAGAATGGAGAAATCTTGACAGCTTTGCTAAAGACAAAGTTAATGAGCTGAAGCGAGTTTTAATAGAGCATTTCCTGGAAACACGAGGTTAATTGGGTGGCATTAGAAATTGTTTACTGCATTGTGTCACATAGTATTTATAGCAGCAGCTATAGTAGCAGCAGCTGCTACTTTACCTGTCAGCTAACACACCTCTCACGTACTTCCTGCTTCTTTACGACAGTCTTTCTGTTAGAGACACCACCTCTTGTTTACTGAAGCTCCTGAACAGTTGACTTACCGGAAAGAAGAGGTTCTTTCAGGACACAGATTATGAACCTCGCTGCGTGACATGGACTGAGGTTACCCTGGTTTATCATTTATTTATTTCTCTTCCTCTACACAACACACCTTTGAATCCCGCAACACCATGTTAACGAAGCAGCTGACCATGCAGCTTGACAAATCAGTATGAAAGGTGGAATGAGTGTTGTACATTACGTCCTGCTAAATTCTTCAGAGTGTGTTCTGGTGGTGTTTTTTCCCAATATCAAAGTTTCTACATTCACACAAGAGCAAAGTACAAAAATGTACCAAAGCAACTTGTTTTGATTTAAACCTTTTAGTTTACCAACTTCTTTTGTCCTCTTCTCTTGTTTTTCTTCCGACCTGACAGGTTTGTGTGTGTGTGAGAGAGAGAGAGAGAGAGAGAGAGAGAGAGAGAGAGAGAGAGAGAG